CTCTGGTCTCTTTATCCCTGTGTTTGTTTGGGGCAGGAGGTCCATGCATTGGCAGAAGTATAGGTTTAGAAGAGAAGGCCCCCAAAATGAAACAACAATAAAAAGCCCACCGAAAAACTCCCTAAAAATAAACAAACAAACCCAAAATCAAAAGCAACAACAACAAAATCCAAAACAAAAGAACTCCATGGAATGAATGGCGAGCTACTGGCTCCTAATGTTTTGGAAGCCTGATTCCTTTAGTGGCTGAGAAGGGACTTGGTGACTGTGTGGGTAACAGTGTTCCCTTCCACTTTGTGACAAAATACAATGAAAACGGGAGTAGTAAGTCTAAACTGAGTTAAGGAATCACCCCTCAGAGTCGATAATTCCTGCTGTGGGTGAAAGACCCAATGCTCTAAGTGGCATAGTTCGTGCAAAGTCTAAATGCCCTTAGTCATAGTAAATGCATGCTAATTTCCAGCTGGCAAAATTGTTTCACGAGAAGTTTTACAGTTTTAGGCAACGATAGAGGTATGAAGAAAATGAACCATTTCTGTATGAGTCCTCCCTACTCCCCTCCCTGTCTGGTAATCTTGAAAAGATCATTTTAAAATTAAGGAAAACATTATCCATGTTTTTATTTTCCCTACTTTATGAGAAAGTGTTTTCACCCGAAAGCTTTCTCTTTGCACATCACAGAGTGTTTTGCAATCTGGGTTGCTTGTGACTGGAATCAACTGCCTGTGTGATGGCTTGCTGCTGCAGTGTGAAAATTAGAATGAGGCCAAGTCTAATGAATGGGTTCATTCGACACAGAGACAATTGTTACTTTTGTTTCTTCTTCTGCTACCAACTCTGAGTAAGAAAAAAAAAAAAAAAACCGTCCTGGTAACAGAAGCATCCTTTACTGTCACCTCTTATGGCATCACAAAATAGGTATTTATGTGTTTGAAGGAGAGAGAGAAGGGGATAATAGACAATGTTTTTTTTTAACTTCCCTTTGGTAAAGAACGTAGCTCTAGTAAGCACTCTTAGAGTTAGTGTTTTCAAAATTAATTGAAATGGTAAAGAATTGTAATGCTTTTTAATATACATAAACACTGGCTTTATTACAGTGTCAGATATTTTGGTACAATGGCTTACTACTAAGTGTGTCATGGGTACAGCCTATGCTCAGATATATAAATGCTTTATGAACCTCCTTCAAAGTGGAAGACAAGCCAAAGTTGTCCACCACATTCCTTCAACGTCCATCCTAAACAGAACCAGGTCTGCCAAACTGAGAGGCTATTTCAAAACAACGAAAATTATTTTTTAAATATTTGTTAGAATTATCCAGTTAAGTATGTTTCTCAAACAACAACAAAGTCTTATATTTCTAAACTTCTTATGTTGCTTGAAGTATGAACTGTCAATTAACAAAACAGAAAATAATCAAGTACACCAAATCATGGAAATATTTGAAATAACGCAATGTTAGCAACTTTATTGGCAGTTTTCTTTGATATTTGGACTTCTGTATTCATTGTTAACATGAAAATTCAAGAGCTTATACTCCTCTTTAGATTCACAGAAATCAATAGAATTTACTTAAAATTTCAAGTACTTCTAAAAAGAAAGCTCAGCATTGTATATGTTAAGCACACTTGCTACTTTTATGTTTTTCTACTAAGAATGTTTTTTTTTTCTTCAGTAGAACTCAGAATAAATGTCTTTGCAAAAATAGTGTTATTTTTTTAAGACAAGATAACATTATGTACTCTAGGGTGACCTCAAACTTGCAATCCTCCTGCCTCAGCATCTTTAGTATTAGGATTACAGTTGTGTGCCAACACACCAGGCTACAAACTTTCTCACTTTGGGAGTAGTTAGTCCCCACAACAATACGTGCTCTAAGTATAATATTTAGTGTATAACAGTGACTAATTATCTGTACATTCATAGCTTGTGATAATGACATACCTTGCATCTTAGCATATTATTCTTACAATTTTTTTGTTGCAAAATTAGCTTATAGGAGGAACTTCCTTTCAGAGCACTGCTTAAATATAAAGGCGTTATCTATGGAGTAAAAGAAGGCTGATTGTCAGTTATATATCCTGATTATAATTCACTTGCTATGTGTCATGTAATAAAAAAAAAAGCCACACGAGTCTTTTGCAAACAGTGTTTGCCTTTTATACAGCTGTCTGTGCATCTCTAACAGCAGAGTGAAGAACAGTCCAGACAAGATCCAAGTCATGGAGGCCAGTAGACTGAGGCACAATCGAGCTGCTGTTAAGAACAGCCTGGAGTGAATCCACCAACTCAAATATAAACTTTCAAAAGCTGTATAACTTGGGTAGTTATTGAATCCATTTGGGCTTCAGTTTTATTGCCTTCATCTATAAAAGCAGGGTTGTTGCAAGTTTAAGCGAATATCTGCACATATATAAATACGTACTTAAAATATATACTGAATGTATATTCACTTAAGGCATATTATGTAAGAATGTGTTCTTAATTTGATATCTGTATAATAAATATACATAAACACTTTAGAGAACTTTTGTCAGAGAGCAAACGCTTCTTAAATATTAACTACCATACTGCCTTATCATTTCTGCCTCTAAACTACTTCTAATAACAAAATCAAATGATTTGATGCTTCCTTATCCCGAAGGGTCAAAGATGACAGCAAAATGCCTTCTTTAAGAAGCGGGGCAAAACAAATGGAGAAACCCCAAGACAATATACTTAATTACCAGCCAGGCGAATCACTTCCGGTAGCTAGCATTTTGTAGAATTAGCAGGGAGAATGTTTGCTTATTATTATTATTATTATTATTATTATTATTATTATTATTATTATTTTAGGAATGGTGTACTGTTATGTGCTAGGGACAGGACTGATGAGAGTTAGAACTCCTGCTGCTCATCATAGATTACTCAAGCAGTGGTCTTGAAGAAACAAGCAAGCAAACAAACAAACAAATGAGTACAATTTCACAGAATCAAAACAGTCAGTTTCCAGCTCTATAAGGACAGAGATTTGTCTATTGGTTCATTACCACGTATACACAGTTCTGGGAAGTGCCTGGAGGCTGGGTAACTATTTCTTGAATAAGTCTAATGAGTGAAAACCTTACTCTATCCCCTTGATGAGTATGGTGTTAAAGGGAGAATAAAATGGTGTGTTCCTAAGTGGCAGACTTTGGAGCTGGAGAAGGCTCCTCAGTGGCTGTGATAACAGTGTATGCTGGAGGTGAGTGGGGACAATATGCATTTCAGAGGCCATAGAGCTGACTGGACATTCACGGGAATGTGGGCTGTGCAGTTGTGCCACTCTTAACTCGGAGTCCCGTGCACAGCTGAATTACACATATCTTGTCCTGCATCTTTCTAACTTTCCTGTCTTTGCTGCTTACATGTTTTCCCCTCAAGCACAGTTTGGAAGCCTATGACATGTTACAGAGTGTCACCAAGAACTTAGGAGAAACCTTTGGCAAACATAGAGCATACTTCTGAGCTTTGAGTGATGAGAATAATTAGTTTGCGCTCATCCGTATTATAGGCAGAGTTGACTATATAACATTATTTATAATTTAGCTCACAACCCCGGAAGATGGAGGATGGATGCATATATAGCACTACTAGGACTGTGTCAGACATCAAGTCTAAATACACAATCTTTTCTATTCTCCTAGCAAACTTTTTTTTTTTGAGAGACAGAAAACAACCCCCTTTTTACAGCACAGGCAATTGGACCATTCAAACTCATTAATACGCATTCTAAGTTTTCCTAATCGTCTTTCTACTGAAAGCTGAGAGGTTATTAGTCATCCCCGGCTGAGCCACACTCCATTCTATTCTCACTTCTAAATACAATAAAATGGCAAACACCCTCAGAGTACATTATTAATCAATTAGATATAATGTCTTAGAATGGCTCCCATCATCTCATTTAACTTTGGAGCTTTTAGACATTAATTAACCATAAGCTGTCAAAAAGCTATCGTGCATTTATACAGAGCATTATTACATCGGGCCTGAAAGGAACAAAAAGGAGGGGGATGTCAGAGAAATATGGTGAAATCACATCCGTAAATAGAGAAAACAATTAGGTCTAATGTAATTAGAAGGAGAATTCAGATTCATTTTGTTCCAAGGTACTGTTTCTATATGTGAAGCTCTATGTAGAAAAGGGTTCCATAAATTAGAACACCATTGAAGGTGATATAGTTTTACTTGGTCCTGGGACATATGGGGTAAACATTTAAGTTATTGCACAGTTACAAAAGTGTCGATAACACATGTTCTGATTAACATTAACACAAATAGTGTTTAAGGCTAGCCAACATTGGAAAGCAATCATCTCCAAGATGGTGACCAAATGTCTTACTTAACTCAGTGTCACCTGTTGGAGTTGACAAAAAGACTCCTGACAAAACGCCTTCCTGGGTCGTTTTCACATTTGCCAGCTTCCTCTCACTTGTATACAAACTAGACAGAGGCACTTTAAGAGCTGTGGACTGCCATTTCTGATGTACATACAAGACACGTAGTTTCAGCTGCCATTGATAAATATGGCAAGTAAGTAAAATGAAGTTGCATTCAAAAGAAAGTAAACAGCTCATCAAACCAGGAACTTGTAAAAATCATTGTTCTCCGTTCTGAAAACTTTCTAAGAAGGATAGAAAAATACGTAGTTCTCGCTCTACGAGGTTCAGTGAGTGTTACCGGTTTTTGATGTTAAGGTACAGTGGTTTAGCGGTTTGACCTTGAAAAAGTTTAAATTATTGATGAGTTAAATATTTTGAGTTAGTTTTGAGTAACATTTCAAAGTATTGAACTTTACATATAGATTCCAAGTGGTCTGGAAAAAACTAAAACGTCAAGTAAAACAAGTTGGAAGAGTTTAGTAAACTGTATAAAAATTAAAAGACTGAAAACAAAAAAATACCTAGTTTTAAATGTGTGAAAATAAATTGCATCCATTTGTCAGGTTCTTTCTTTTCTTTTTTCTTTTTCCCCCAGTCTTAGTTCGTTGGGACATACTGCACCCGCCACAACACGTTGGAAAGTAGGTCTTGGTACACACTAAGGAATAGCCAACCAGGCAAATACATCAAGGTGATGAGGCCCATGAAATTGAGCGGATAGTGAGAATAGTCCCAAGAACAGGCCCCACACATGCGAAGTCCCAGACCCCAGGACAACTCCCAAGCATAGATAAAGATCACATAGATGGGCACCCGCTTCCAGGTGCCCCAACCACGGCTGTAGTGAAGGTGGAAGTAGAGTTTTTCCACCACAAAGCTACAACTGCCATACATGAAGAAGGACCAGAGAGATGTGTGCCCACTGCTGGTCCCGTCCCCCTGCCCCAGAACATTGAAGAAGAAGGTGAAGAAGATCTCATCCAAAAAGCCATGCATTCCGAAGAAAAGGAAGCGGAGGAGGTCTGGCAGTCCCTGGCTAGGGGTTCCTTCTTCGCCCTTGGGGCCGCAGGGTCCTTGTCGCCGGTCACCAGCCTCCAAAAGGACTCGGGCATCCGGGGCTGCTGGTAGTGTGTCCCTGGTTTGCTGCTGGCGCGGCCGCGGGTACCGCAAACGCAGGAAGCGCTTCAGGAACACTTGGCCGTGGTAGAGCGCCAGTACGTATTGCAGAGCTAGGTCGAGCGCCCCCGGCGCCACCGCGCCCCCCGGCCCGCCACCTAGGCTGATAAGCAGCGCCTGGCCCGCCAGGGTCTGCAGCCCCACGTGTGCCCAGGGGTAGAGCAGGAAATTGAAAAGGAAGGCGCTGGGGCAGCGCGGCGG